TTGGCTGTGTTCTCAATTTTCGCTTCTCCTACACTTCATCCTTAATATAGGTTTTTGGGTCTGAGTCTCCTTATGTTTATGTGCCCATCTGTCTCCCTGGCCCTTCTTCCCTGGGCTCTCCCCTGCCCCCGCTGATTGTGTTCAGTTCCCAATGATTGGTGTCTGTCACCTCTCCCCTCGACCCAGCCTGCCCCAGATCCCTGGAACGCTCTAGGCTTTGTGCTAAGTTTTATAGGTATAGTTTCTTTGCATCCTCAAAACAACCGTACAAGGTAGATCCTACCCTCATACACGGTAGATACTGCCCTCGTCCTCTCAGACATAGCAAGCAGATTGTAGCCCCAGGACCTTTGCACTACTTGTCTCTTCTGCCTCGAACTCTCTGGGTCTTCCTATGACTCACTCCCTCACTGTTGAGGGCTGTTTAGGTGTCGTCTTGCCATTAAGGCCTTACTTGACCTCTCTGCTGGAAGCAGCTACCCTATCCTCACACCTCTTATCTCCTTTTTCTCTTTATTTTTTTCATAACACTTAGAACACCTGACATACTGTGTATTTTGCTTGTTTATTTGTTAATAGTCTGCCTCCATTAGAATGTAAGGTCCAAGGGGCAAGGGTGGTTGCCTGGTATTTTCCCCAACACAGTGTCTGGTACATAGTAGGTGCTCCTTTTTCCATTTTATAAATGAAGACCTTAAGGCGTGGAGAGGTGAAGGAACTCATGCAGGGTCTCATAGGCAGTCAGTAGCAGAGCCCAACTTGAACCTGGAAGTGTATGACTTTACATTTCTACAAGGACAGTCCACCAGTGGGGTTGGTGGAGAACGCTGGTAATGGGGCTGAACACCTGGGCCTTTGAAGATGAGTGGGTTTTCAACAGGGCACAGGCAGCTAGTGTGTCTGAGGAGCCCAGGGGGCACAGGGAGCTGTGAGGAGAGGCACTCTCCAGCATAGAGGTTGGGAGCTTACTGTCCAGGGTGCTGAGACCCTCCTGCATCCTTCTAGCAGGATAGGAAGTGCTGCTGGTGGAGCCAGCTCACTGGCAGTTTTCTACTTAGAAGCTTTGACTTCCAGTAGAATCCATGCCCTTTGTGGTGGAAAGAACTAACAGCTTCAGCCATGAAAACCAGGACAAGTCACTCCTCCCTGGGCCTCAGTTTCTTCATCTGTAAAACAGAAGAAATGGAGTTGAACTGGATAACTTTCTCAGTCTTTTTCACTTCTAAAAAGCAAAGATTCCGTGCTATTTTGGCTCCAGATTCAGCTCACCTTCAAAAGCTGCACACGGGGGACCGCACCGCTCCTCAGCTCTTATCTCCATTTTATGGAGCACTTATTGGGTGCCAGGCATTTACCATGTAGAGGCTCATTTAATTCTACAGTAACACTGTGAAGCAGGTACTAGTACTGTCCCCATTTTATATGGAGGAAACAGGTACAGAGTACATTCACCTGGTCTAGTGGCAGGGCCAGGATGAGGAATCCAGGAAGCCTAAACCTGGGGCCAAGGCTTCTAGTGTAGGGTTCCCTAGCTGTTCTGTCCCTTTAGTCTGTCCACACAGGGGCACATGAGAGGGAGGCACAGATGTCCACGCCAGCTCTGTAGGATGGCAGGATGGCCCAGTGGGGAATGAGAAGAAGGCTCGAGGCCGAGGCTTTGGCCTCTAAGCAGGGTGATGTTGCTGCAGCCACCTCTTCTTCCCTTGGCCCCCTTTTGTGCTAGGAAGTCAAGGGAGCTGTGAGGAAGAAAGCAGTATCCCTGCCCCCAGAGGAAGGCCTGGTGAAAAGCGTCATTTGCAAGCAGGATCAACCACCTATGAAGTAGTTCAGTTTGGGAGCAACTTAGGGAATAATTTGGGCCCTGAAGGGGAACTTGTAACCTCAGGACCCACCTGGAGCAATGTGCCACAGCTCAGGCCGCAGCTCTGTCTCCTTGGGGAGTGAGGGCTTCGTGGGGCTTGCTGGGTGCCTGCTACCCCAGCCCTGGAGAGGCCACAGTGAAGATTGAGGCCCCACCAAGGTTTCAGCAAAGGAGGATGGGATTGTTTCCTTCTGCTTAGTCAGAAGGGCCAACTGGAAAGAGCTTTGGGCTGAGAGTCAGGAGACTTGGCCTCAGTGTGATCCTGAGCAAATCATCTGCCCTCTCTTGTGCCTCTCTTTCCCTTAAAAAATGGGCACACACAGCCACTCTTTAGCTCCCCTCCTCTTCTAGAGGGTGGAGGTGGAGGGTAGCAGTTAATAGTAGATGGGACAGTCTTGTGTTTTGAAAAAAAAAGCAAAGGTGAGTGGACAGACAGGATTCCAGGGGGTTGTTCCTAATCCAGGTTGCGGCTGGTACCCACTGGGTCTGAAGGACTCTCTTGCCTGTTGCAGAATGAGCCCATGGTGGTGGCAGTTGAGGAGGGTAGTGAGGCAAGCATCCCTGCTGTGAGAGATGGCCAGGGCCGCACTGGCCTCCCCCGCTTCCTCCCTCTCCCCCTTCCTCCCTCCCTCCCTCCCCCCCTTCACCCCTTCCCCCCTTCCTCCCTCTGCTCACCCCCTTGGCAGCTCTTTCTGAACTTGTTTTTCCAAGTCCCTAATTAACTTCATGCCTCCCAGGTGAGTCTGCTCTCCTGGCTAACTTTTCCTCAGAGAGCCAGCTTCTGCTTCCCATGTTTCCTGGCAGAATTAGGTTATGCTGCCCCTGCCCCTTACCTCAACCTCTCTGTTTTTCAGGGGAGAGGGGGGTGCCAGGACTGGATTCCCAGCCTGACCATGGCCACGGACAGGCAGTTTTGCCAACTCACTTCTGGATGGCCATGGAGAGCCCACAGGCTGGAGCCACTTACTTAATGCCCATATCAGCCTGTACTGACTTGGCAGACCCTTTTTTCAGAGGAGGAAGAATGAGGCCAGAAAAGGAACTTAAATTTACCTTCACTGGGGAGAAACGGGCAAGAAAAGCTCCAGCAGTGTTGTAAAACAGAGAAAGTGTGTGTAATTTTTATCATACATGCATTTCATTGCTATTCATCCCCGGACCCAGCCTTCTCCTAACATGCTGTTTCTGATCAACCCATCCAAGCTAAAGTGTAAATGAGGTACACTGAGGTGTGTGATGGGGGATCCGTCCTAAGCCCAAGGCATACATTCCTATAGGTGAAATAGCAGTCATCAGGGAGCTAACTGGGGACAGGATCAGTGATTCAGAGATGGCTTTCCCAGGCCTGTGAATTGACCCTGCCTGGGAGGTGGTGAAAACATTGTGGTATGAAGAAAATACAGCCTTTGAAGTTAAACAGTACTAAGTCCAAATCTGGTTTTCATCCCTTCCAGGCTGTGTGACCTTAGGCAAGTATGTAACCTCTCTGATCTTCAGTTGATCCTGTATAAAATGAGGTAAGGCCTGCCTCACAGGGTCATTGGGAGGATTGAAGGCAATTGAAGCATATACAAAGTGCTTAACAGTTCCAGGCACAGAAGAGACAGCTGATGACTATTCATTCCAGATTTCCCCCTTGAACTTGCTCCCGCTCCAGAAGCCCTGGAGGTGCTGCGTCTTGCTTCATTTTCCCAGGTTCCCTTGTATTCTTCATTGGTGTTTTGCAGTATGGAGTACAAGGTGTGCCCTCCTCATCCCAGTGCAGACTCCCAGGGAGGAAAACCTCTCTGAGTCCTCACTAGACAGGGGACAGGGACATGCCAGTGCCTGTCTACATAGCCACATGGAAATCAGGGTGGCTCAGGCAGGCATGGGGATTACCAAATGGTACCATGAGGCCACAGACCCCCCTTACCCACCCATTTAGGCTCAGCCATCTGGTCAAGGAGGAAGTGCAGTCCAGCCATCATGCAGGACAGGCGGCAGCAGGAGACATGAGACTGGACCCCATCAGTGGGCACCCTGACAGTGGTGAATGGCACGGCATGAATAACACATGAAGTCTCCGTAATTGGTGTTATTACACATGCATTTCATCTCCATTCATAATGATTGGACACTTAAACCCAGCCGTTCCTCTGCCGCCTGCTGCTGTCATCCTTCTAGCCGAGATCCCAGCAGCTGTCGGGATCAGCCCCTGCCACTCTGATGCTGATGGGTGTGGTTCCTTTTTCTCTGGAGCTCGAGTTCAAGGAAATGTCTGTTTGTAGGAAGGAGTGGGACTGGTTCTTGTGATCAGACCACCCTGCCAACTGCCACGGTGCGTATTGTCCCCTTCAGGGACTTCCTCACCGTCTAGGCAGTCAGCAGGGAAATCCTGAGGTGAGAGACAGAAGAGACTATGGCTCATAGGCTCAGCCAGCAGAAAGTGGTCTAGGGTCATTCCTTGTAGCAACCTGCCTCTGGGCGTCCTTCATACAGTGGACCTCAAACTGTAGGTGCATTAGGATTACTTAGAAGGTTTAGTAAAACATTGCTGGACCTTACCCTCAGCATTTCTCACTCAGTAGGTTTAGGTAAAGTTTGAAATTTGCATTTCTAACCAAAGGATCAGAGACGTAATGCTTCTAGTCCAGGACCACACTTTGAGAACCGCTGCCTTAAAGCCTAGTTACTGCAACTGCAGTGCGTGGACAAAGAGCCTCACCTGAGTGCTTGTTACAAATGCAGAATCACAGGACCTGCCGCAAGCTTCTGGATCAGGAGTGCATTGTGATGAGATTCCCAAGTGGTTTTTACACCCATGGCAGCTTGAGAAGCATTAAAGCGCAAATGGGTCAGAGGTGGGCAGAGCTATGGAACGCAGGTCTGGCAGCTGTAGATCTCTGACCAGTTGCTTCCAGCCAAGAGCAGCTTCTCTCTTCTGTGACAAAGATTGGGAAACATTGTCCTAGAGCCCCCGAGCAGATGACTAAAGACCCTCTGAGGAGGGACTTCCAGCCCCTGACTCCATATGTTAATCCCGCCTCTTACCCTGGAATGCCCTTCCTGGTAACCTTCATGCAGAAGTCCATGTCCGCAGCCAGGCCTATCCATCCCTGTCTGACAGCTGCCCCCTGCTCTCCTCCCCTGCCCATAGGTAGTGGCCTTTGCCTCTCTCTTCTTCATCCTGGTCTCCATCACCACCTTCTGTCTGGAGACCCATGAGGCCTTTAATATCGACCGCAACGTGACGGAGATCCTCCGTGTGGGGAACATCACCAGTGTGCACTTCCGGCGGGAGGTGGAGACGGAGCCCATCCTGACCTACATCGAGGGCGTGTGTGTGCTGTGGTTCACGCTGGAGTTTTTGGTGCGCATCGTGTGCTGCCCTGACACGCTGGACTTCATCAAGAACCTGCTCAACATCATCGACTTTGTGGCCATCCTGCCCTTCTACTTGGAGGTGGGGTTGAGCGGCCTGTCTTCCAAGGCAGCCCGCGACGTGCTGGGCTTCCTGCGTGTGGTGCGCTTCGTGCGCATCCTGCGTATCTTCAAGCTCACACGCCACTTCGTGGGGCTGCGTGTGCTAGGCCACACCCTGCGGGCTAGCACCAATGAGTTCCTGCTGCTTATCATCTTCCTGGCCCTGGGCGTCCTCATCTTTGCCACCATGATCTACTACGCAGAGCGCATCGGGGCCAGGCCCTCTGACCCTCGGGGCAATGACCACACCGACTTCAAGAACATCCCCATTGGCTTCTGGTGGGCTGTGGTCACCATGACGACACTGGGCTATGGGGACATGTACCCCAAGACGTGGTCAGGCATGCTGGTGGGGGCGCTGTGTGCGCTGGCTGGCGTGCTCACTATTGCCATGCCGGTGCCTGTCATTGTCAACAACTTTGGCATGTACTACTCCCTGGCCATGGCCAAGCAGAAGCTGCCCAAGAAACGGAAGAAGCACGTGCCACGGCCGGCCCAGCTGGAGTCACCCATGTACTGCAAGTCTGAGGAGACCTCCCCCCGGGACAGCACCTACAGTGATACCAGCCCCCCTGCCCGGGAAGAGGGTATGATGGAGAGGAAACGGGCAGGTGAGATTAGGGGTTGGGAAGGAAAATCCCTTTTCCCCCAGTGGCCGAGGGAGTTTCCAGGTGAACTTCAGCCCTTGGGATTTGGGCTGATGTTTTATTGTGTGGGGTTAAGCATAAGATGTGCCTTTATAGGAGCAAAGTGTTGAGGCTAAATTTCTCTATCCTCTGGCTGAGTCTTCCATATCGTCCCAAACATCAGATCTTTGGAGTGAGTATTCCACCCAGTGTAGGCTGTGAGGGGCAGTGCATGGGGCTGTATATTAGATGCCCTGGTTTCTAATCCCATTTTGGCCACTGTGCTGTGTGCCCTGAGGCCAGTCACTCACCCTCTCTGGGCACCGGTAAAATAGGAGTGATATTATATCCTACCCTTGAGACTTTGAAAGACCCAAATGAATGACAGATAGGAAAGTACTTTGAGAAGTTAAAACCACTTTACAAATGTCAGGCACTGTCATTATTAGCCAAAGATCAGGGCAGCTGTTCTTCCAAGGTACATCAACACATGAATCACTTCTCTGCAAACGTTTGAGTCTGGTATCTTGGCCTAATAAATGTGATAACGTAATAGTAGTGGGAGGCTGCCTTCTGTTCAGCACAAGCTAGATTGAGTCCTGGGCTCAGGGTCTGACATGGGATGGAAAGGAACTGAGGAGGGAGTGGCCCAGACAGTGCTGGGAAGGGGAGGAACATGGAAGAAACTGGTATCTGTGCCCTGGAAGAGGAGAGCCTGGGCATCTGAATCCTGTCCTTCAAGGACAGGAAAGGCCATCCCAAGAAAGCTCATCTCCACCCCTGAATCAGGAGATGGGGAATGGAAAACAGCTTAATCCCCAGCAACATGGACTTAGGTTGGAGAGCAGGAAAGGCATCCTGACTGTTAGGTGGAGGCTGGGCTCCTGGGAACTGAATGGAATTCCTGGTATGGAGACCTGGGCTGGAGCCAGGAGACTAAGGCTAAGCTCTGGGGCAAAGTGGGACTGACCCTGCAGGAGAGACACCTGGCTCAGGACACTCACCCATGGCCTTTGGCATGTGCCCATCATACCTGCCTGGGTCGTCTCATTCCCTAGGGTCATGTCAGGGGCCTGGGTCTTGATAGACTAGCACCCATCAGGCTTCCCATTTCTCCCCACCAAAGTGATACCCCTTCCTAATTCGTGAATATTAATCTCCCAGGGAACTTCAGCTGCACTCTGAGGCCCATTCAGGGCTTAGAGAGAATCCTAATATTAACATGTGGAAGTCCTTAGGTCAGCTGCTCAAGGTACACTTCACAGTGGCCCTATCAGACCTGCCCTTAGCCTGACCCTGACAGCAGCCACATTAAGGGCATGCCTGGCCAGTGGCGGGGCCACTGTCTTTGCGTAGAGTAGCACCCCCTTCTCCAGATCCCAGGGCCAAGCTTCACCTGTGCTGCTGCCTGACAGAGGCAAGGGGTGGGGACCAAGCCCATAGCTCTTGGGAGCTGCATCGGAGCTTTTCCCACGGTATCCTCCCCAGACAAAGGTCAGCCCTAATTGCAGAGGGCTCTAGGTCTTTGGGGCACAGGACTCCAACCTAGATGCCTAGTGAACCAGAATGACTGTCATCCAGAGAGAAAGCATGGACAACACTTTATAGATTTAACCCTTGCTGTGCCACCCCTCACCCCTAGCAAGCTAGGCATTCTCCATGGAAGTGCAGACTCATCCAAGAGCCAGCCTGAGCCAGACCCAAGGAGGAAGTAGAATCTGCAGCCTGCGTTGGGCTGATCTCCTGGGGCAGCCGTCAGCAGGCAGATTTGGGGAGTCGCTGTTGTAGGGCATCTGTGCTGTGGCTTCATCCCTGAGGAAAGACCCTAGGCTGAGGCTGGGAGAGAAGCCAGCCTTCAGACCAAGCACAGCATCCTGCCTTTGCCCTGGTGACACGGACTCCCAGGTAGATGCTAGGCCCCCTCCTGAGGTTTCGGAAATGACACTCTGGGTCTAGGAGACCCCAGATGACCCCATGAGCAAGGCCCAGGCAGCCCCTCACGCAGCTTCCTTTCTGTGTGCCCCCTTCAGATTCTAAGCAGAATGGCGATGCCAACGCGGTGCTGTCTGATGAGGAGGGAGCTGGCCTCACCCAGGCCCTGGCCTCCTCCCCCACCCTGGAGGAGCGCCGGGCCCTACGACGCTCCGCCACTCGAGACAGAAACAAGAAGGCAGCTGCCTGCTTCCTGCTCAGCGCTGGGGACTATGCCTGTGCCGATGGTAGTGTCCGGAAAGGTATGGCTTCCCAAGCTGGACAGGTGGGGAGCCCCCCAAGAGCTGAGTCTCCCCAGTCCCCCCCAAAGAGCTTGAGGTCCCCCCCTCCCCTGAGACCGTGGCCACCATCTCCTCTGCCTTGGATGCATCCCCGCTTCTAGAATGGGTACCTGATCTCCAGTCCCTGGATTAGAAAGGCCACCTCCATCACAAAAGGGCATACGGCTCCCATCCAGCTGCCCATGGGAAAGAGCAGCACCAGAGGGTTGAGAGCACACAAGGCCAGGCCCCCCACCCCGTGCGTCCATTGCATCTCTTTCTCTTCCTCTGGTTCCCACTGCTGCCTTCAGGCCCCACTCCACAGGGTCACTGCCAGCCTCTCCCTAGGCCTCCTTTAAACACAGCTAAGGCTTCCCAAGTAGGTCACTGCTCGAGGTGCCAACAACGTTCAGGAGTCAGGGAGCCCCTTACAGGCCCTGCATCCTCCCATCCTGCCCCGGGGGTCCTGGAGCACAGGATGGGCAGACCTCCATGTGCAAGTGCCTAAGGTGAGACTGTCCTCTTGACTCAGTGCCAGAGGTGACCAGGGGGTGGGGCAGGTGGGCAGGAAGAGTGGGTCCCATCTGAGGAATGCTCTGAGGATTTGGAGAGGTAGAGGGAGCAGCCCATTCTCTGCTTGTCAGAAGAGCCTGAAATTCCATCCCCAGGCCCCAAGCCTGCAGCAAGGCAAGGGCAGACGTTAGGCTGTGGAGCTAAGGGATTCTGGGCCTTGGAAGGGGGACAGGAATGATCAAGGATGGTGAAGGGCCTGTGGTGACTGAGAACTAGGGGTCTTAGAACCAGACGCTCCTACCTGGTTTTAGGACCAGATGCTCCTACCTGGTTTTCCATCACTTATTCGTCTCTCTTGCCCTGTACCTGTTACCTAATCTCTCTCAATGTTCTGCCTATTTCTAGAATAAACCCTGATTCCCTTTTTTTTTTACCATGATAGACCAGGAATTTATAAACCCTGATTCCCTCCAAAACAAACTCTTCCCCAGGTTCTCTGCCACTTCTTAACCAGCTGGATTTCCCATCCCCCATTTCTCTCTGTCCCCAAACCCCAGACCCAAACTAAGTTGAGTGAAGCAGGGGCAGTGGCAGCTACAGGAATAGCCTGTGATGCCTCTATCCCTCCGAACTTGTCCCTGGCCTGCCAGCCCATGCAGGCTCCCTGGGCATCTGCTAGTTCCTTTCCCAGCCCTTCCAGTACCACTGTTCCCACAGAAGCCCCAGGCTCGCGAGTCTAACCAGGCCCTGAAAGCCATGTGTCCAGCTTTGCTGGGTGTGTATCCTGTGGGCTGGCAGAAGCAGAAACAGTGATCTGGTGCCTGGAAGGAGGTGGTCCAGCAATCCTAGCAAAAGGCTGCAGATGGAGACTGCTCAGACCTTGTACCCTCACCTGTGCTCCTTTGTTCACCCCCATGTCCTATCCTTGGGCCCTGGGTGTGGCCTTTTCTCCTGCCTACCATCCCAAACAGGCAGTGGCTTCCACTGTGTCCTTGTTCAGTGCCCAAAGCCTTGCTTTGGCTGGACCATGCTAAGTGGAGAGTCTAGAACAAGCATTCCCCGCGTAGGATTCGAGAACACGGAGCTGAGTGCCATGCACACCTGCTTTCCTTCCTGGGCAGTGAGGGGCTCAGTGGAAACAGGTGTGGAAGAGGCCATGAGGGTGCCAGTCAGGAGGGACCACGAGGTACAGGGAGTGGGCCGCACCTGGGGAAGGCGGTGCACGTGCACGGGGGAGGGGAGCCAGCGTCCCACCCTGCAGTATCCCTGGGGCGCCTGTGGGGCCTGGCTGCTCTGTTTTCAAGATGCCTCCACAGTGCTTCTTGGCAACAAGCATGTAGCTCAGCCAATTAGGGTGACCTTCAAGAGGGAACAGGTGGGTTGCTGGGAAACAGGCCCTGCTAGGCAAGCGTGGCAGTTAACATCGCCAAACTCCCAGTGCGCGCTCGGCAACTTTCCCCACGCCATACCGTGCCACACTTCTCCACACTGGGGTCATGTTTAAGACCAGGAGTGAGTGGGCTCAGGCCTCCCCACACAGGCCCACATGGCAGAGTGCCAGTTCCTGGGGAGGATGGTGCCAGGTGCTAATTAGGGCTTCTTAGGGTCAAGAAGGTCGATGCTGGGGGCTGGGGGGTCTTTGTGCAGCTGGATGATAAGGAGCTGGGGGGCGGGTGGCAGGGAAGCTTACCTGGGGACAGGACAGGACAAAAGCCAGCTGGGTGTGGGGCCCTAGAGTCTGTCCTCAGGAGTCCAGACCTAGACAGCGAAGAGAGCCCAGGAGGGCCAGGCCCCTCCATCCCCGCCCAGGGCCACCGCCCTGCAGTGTTCCCTGGAACGTGGTCCCTGAGGAGCCGCGCCCACTGACCCGTGTGCCTTTTCTTCACCAAGGCTGTGGAAAGTCTCGGAGTCTAAACAACATAGCTGGAGCAGCTGGAACCAGCCTGGGGCTGTCTCCACTGGCATCGAGATACAGCTCGCCCTACCCTCTGAGAAAGTTTCTGCTCACCCCCTTCCAGCCCCTCACCGGCCCTCCCCCTGGTCACTCTGCCCCTTAGCTGCACCTTCCCCTCCAGGCACATGCGCACGAACAGGCGCCTTCCATGCCCTCTGCGCTCACTCCCTGAGGGCCCATGGGGACAGCAGGAGGGAGCAGTCAGGAGAGGAAAATGTAGGCCCCTGAGCCTCTCCTCTGTAGCTCCCAGCTTCCCAAAAGGTTCAGCTCTGGAACGGGAGAGCAAAGGTGAGCTCAGTCCCAGGGCTTCTCCCCACCCAGAATCGCCTCTTCCTGGGCTGTAGGTGCACACTCTGGACCTGTCTCTTAGCCTTGCCTCCCTCTTGGGGTCCCACCAAGGCTAGTCTCAGCCACCAGGCGTGTATGTGCACACAGTGTGCCTGGGGCCAGTTAGCCTTGCTTGGGAGCTGGGCCTATGTTAATATTTTTAATCACTGCGAATGTATTTCCATTCCTCATAGCCTTTAACCAGTAGCCAAACAGCCTGTCTGTCTGTCTGTCTGTCCACCCCACACCCAGCCCAGCAAGGAACAAGGCTGTCATGTGGGGCATCTCTGCTCGTGTAAAGGTGGCTTGACTCCTTGGAAGAGCAGTGTCTATGGGCAGTGCTGCCCTGGGAGAAGAGGCCTGATGTTTTCTGTCTCTGGCTTGGGGCGCAGGCGGGGGTCCCTAGCGCTGTAGCCTCAGGCTTGGTGCAGGTTGTGGGTGGCTGCCTAGGCAAGGGAGACCCTTCCCTTGGGAAGCCTCTGCCCAGATTCGGTGGTGACTCCCAGTGGCGGCACCTGGTGTCCCTTCTGCGCCCCGAGCTGCTACGGCATCGCTCTCCACGCTGCTTCCTCTGCTTCTGCGACAGTTTTCCTTCCCTCTCCCGCTCCCTCAAACTCCCAGCCCTGCCTCTGAGTCACCTGCCATTCTCACCCAGCCTCTGCGCTTTGTATTCCTGCCAGAACCGGAGACTCATCTAATTTCTATAATTAAGTGTATTCATTTACCTAACGAGCCCAGGAGCACAACAGGTTTGTGAGTCACTGGGTGAGCAGGGGTACACCTTGCGCAAGGGCAGCTGAGGGGAAGTATAGGGACAGAAGCCATCCTGCCCCCACCTGCTCCTGCCACTTCCAGGAAGGGGGCCCTCCACAGCCTGAGGAACAAGGTTGCCTCAGCCAAGACGTTTCCTGTTTCACCTGATGGGAATTAGACCTGACAGCAGAGCCTTGCGCCTGGCAATTTTTAGAGTCAGATTATGCAACTTTGCGGAGAGAATGACTAAGTAAGGTCCAGATATGCTCCTTCCATGGTCGGCAGAGACAGGATGGCAGGGCAGCGTCAGGGCTGGGCAGAGGCTGGGAAATCTGGGGCTGTCCAAAAGGTGAATTGGGCAGAGCAGATTATTTCGTGGGGTTGGGGGTATTGTGTAAAGCCTGTGCCTGGAGCGTCTCCACCCTGGTGCCTCCTTCAGTCTTGGGCAGGCACAGAAATGTCCTTCTGGAAAGGTCTGTCCTGAGTGGGCACTGGGATACCCCACCCTGCAGTGCTTTGTGGAGCCCACCTCCTGCTTGCTCTCAGAATGAAGTGATGCCTAAAAGTGTAGAAGAGGGAATTTGGGGGCTTCCATGCAACTGCCCTTCAGAAGGAAGCAGGCCTTTGAAGTGACAGGGGTGGGGAAGCCTGTGGAGAAGGATGGAGCCATAAGGGCCCCGCCCCCAACAGCCACAGGGCTCCCTGCGCAGAGGGCCTGGGCTCTGACCCGGACACAGCGAGCCTGGTGTGCAGGTTAGCAGGGGTGCCACTGCTCTTTTCTCCTCTGACTTGCCTTTCTGGTTCAGGGAACCGAGGCCGCTATTTCTGTGGCAGCCCTCAAGTTGTCAGGAGCCCAAGTTTCCACGGCACCCACCGCCTCCTTCCCTCTCTTCCCTCCCACAGGGCTGGGCCTGCTCATGGCACCCCTCTGGTGGGCACAGATGTCCCTGGGCGACAAGATGCAGCAGTGCCAGGCTGGAGCCCTAATGCCTCAGGGAGCTGGCTCCCACACATCCCTCTTGGGTCTCTGGCTTCATCTAGGAGAGACAGAACCCAGATAACAGGAGGGCTGAGGAGACTGTCTGCCCTTACAACCTGTCAGCATCTCTGGGCCTGCCCAGGTCCCTAGGAAGGGGCAGGGTGAGCCCTGGCATTTGCAGAAACCCTGGATGCCAGGCACTGCCACAGGAAGTGGCTGCCTGCACAAGCGTCAGGCTTACCCAGGCCTTGGGCCTCCCTCCTTGGGAGAAACCTCTCTCCCACCCACCATCTGAGAGTGGAGTTTGTTTTCCTTCGGCTAGACTTGGACCTGCACCCATTCCTTGGCTGTCAGACGCCTTTCCCCTGCAGCTGGAGCTCCGCCCCTTCCCACAGAACTGGGAGGCAGTCTGGGTAGAAGTTCACAACCTCACCTTCCAGTCTGTAGCAGGGCGACTGGCAACCCTAGAGGCCACTTTTCAGGGCTTCTGAGGGGTAGAACCAGAGGAGGGGGTGCTGCAACCTAGAGCCTGGCTGACAGGAGCCAGAGGGGAGGAGGCCGTGGACTGGCCACAGGCCCTAGGCTGCACTTTCACAGAGTTTCCTGGGAGAGGAGGGCCAGCTCTGCTCTGGCCAGTGTCACTCTGTGAAATCCCTGCCCCACCCCTCGTGGGTCAAATAGGTAAGAATCCAGGGTGAGATTCCTAGGAAGACCCCTCCCCAACTCTCAGAGGTCCCTGAGGATGCAGAGTCCATGGAAGCCAGTGAAAAAGCAGTCTAAGGCCATTATCTCAGTATGGGCTTCTCTGCTCCCGGGCTTCTGGGACAGCCTTGCTATGACTCCTGTCTCATACAGAAGACCCCTTGGTGGCCCAGGCATTCTCCCCAGTGCATCTTAGGGCCTAATTGCCTACAGAGAGCCCAGAGGCACTTCCCTGTCCCCTAGTGAGTGGGAGCAGTGGCAGGTATTGCTTAACTTACCTAGACAGGAGTACAGGGCAAGAATACAGCTGTCTGCTTGTCCTCAGAAATGGGGCTCTGAAAAACCCTGAGCTCCTCTGACGTTAAGGCTAGTATTCAAAGGCTCAGAACACTTGTAGACCAAGGCACAGTGTTTAAGGAGGTGATTGGGGCATATAGTCTTCAGAAGATGGAAACAGCATTACCACAAACTGAGAACACCCTTTCCCTACAAAGTTGGTGGAGGCACCCCAAAGCCCAGGGTGGAAGCTGTGAGGTCCGGATGCCACATCTTTGCCCACCTTGAGAGGAGGCCTAGCCCTAGACCTCAGACCCCAGAGCTGCAGGGATTGTCCCAATGGGTCTGGAGCTCCCACTTCCACTATTGACCCAGATCTGTAGCTGAGGGCGGCACTCCTCCCTGCCCTACCTGTGGTCCCACTGGTAAGGTATCAGAAGGAAAGGCCCAGGTCACAGACATCCCAGGCTGAGGATGGGGTCCCAGAAGGGCTCTCTGAGGGGTCGGGTTTCTCAATAAGGTACTATTTCCTGACCTTCTCTCCTGAGACAGGCACATTCGTCCTCCGTGACCTTCCCCTTCAGCATTGACCTGAGGCTGCATGCCCTCCAACTGCTGGGACTCTGTTCCTGCCACATTGAGGAAGGGGGCTGGGCACGACATGGCATCATACTCAGGAGCCTTCTTCACCAGCTCCTTGGGACAATGGAATATCCCAGGGTGGTGACAGCAGATGGAGCTACTTGGGGGAGAGCTCGAGTTGGGCAGGCAGCAGCTGGGGTGATGACCTGTGAGCCACAGGCTACTTGGGGGAGAGCTCAAGTTGGGCAGGCAGCAGCTGGGGTGATGACCTGTGAGCCACAGGCACTCAGGAACTTTCCCCACTGCCTCCTTGCAAGGCTGCAGAGCCATGGTCCCTTTCTCCACTGCACTGGAGCTCTGAAGACCTAAGAGGCTAGTGGTTCCTGGAGCTAGTGGTTACCTGAACAGGTATGGAGATGAGCTGCATCACCTGAGTCACCAGAGTTGGGTTGGCAGAAGGATGAAGGGCTTACCCCTTTCCCTGACCCATCCCTGTTCTTCCTGGCCTTTTATCCCTGGGTCCCTCATGCCTTCCAGCTGTGCTTCTGGCCTGCTCCTCAGCCCACACCTTGTGGGTCAGCAGCTGGCTTCCTTCTAACATCCCATTCTTTGTTTCTCCCTTTCTTTTGCTGAACTCCCTGTCCTCCCCCCAAGAAGGCAATGTTGAGCCGAAAGCGTGCGTCCCAGTGTCTCACACCTGTGCTCTTTAAACACAGAGACCTGCCAAGACGCCCTCTCGTCCAACTATGCCCAGGCTGAAGTCCTCACCCTCTCTTAAAGCGGCACCAACGTGAGAGAGACAGGCAGACAGACAGAAAGCCAGAGGCTTAGGGAAACTCTGGAACCCAGACAAGAATCTTTTCGCTGGGGAAGACTCAGATATCCTTGTTTGCACAGGACTGGTGGAAAACCTCCCATGTGACCCTCGGAGTCCAGAGCCATCTGGGCCTGATGTTGTTCTACTGTACATTGAAGAGATATATATGCACATATAGTATCTATATTCATACATACTATACTCTTGTGTGTAGTGCACGTGCTATTGGTGGTTTGTCTTCTTTGTTAGGCTGTGTCTCCCTGAGCCCTTGCCCCACCTGGAGTTTCCCATCCCCTTCACTGATTTCTGTTGTTTCTGCTGACTGTGTGGGTGGAATGTCCCAAGAAAAGTGCATCTGGGAATTGCTAGTCCAGCTGGGTGGTCCCAGGCTCCTGTCTTGAGGGTGTTTTCCCTGTCAGTAAGTAACCTGGTGAAGTCTATTGAAGGCCAGATTGCCCCCCAGGGTCACTGCCTCACTAGCCCCACCCCACCCCAGATTGGGGTTCTATCTCCCATCCCGCACCCTCATTGTGGGGGGACTTCCAGGGGCTCTTCTGCGGCCTCCTCCCCTCCTTCCTCCACCCCATATATGTCCTTGACTGAGGGGGGCATTTTGTCTTTTTTATTTTTGACTTTGTTCTGCCTCCTTCGTCTGTTTGTTTTTAAAGATGCTGCTGGGCAGACGGGCAGGGAAAGGATCTGCCTGCCCATCTGGCTCAGGGGTCTGAGAAGGGAAGCCTTGGGCGAGAGGAGACCAGTTGCAATACTGTACTTCCTGGCCAGTGGCCAGAGGATGCGTGCAATAGCAGAGGCCAGGTGACCCCTTCAGCTTGGCCTCTGCCCCTCCCTCGGCCCTTCCTCCCTGCTCCTCCCTGGTGTTGGTCAGTCCTTTTCTAAAGCTGTCCACTTGTGTGTGTCTGGGGCATGCCCAGGCTGGGCCCTGTGCCCCGTCCGCCTGCCTCCAACTGTCATGCTGTGCTCGAGCCCCAATAAAGACATCTGGAGCATCCTGCTGCTCCTGCCGTGTGAGCACCTGCCTCTGCCTCTCCTTTCTGGCTCTGTGTCTGTCGGGACCTCCTGGGGCTCTCTCTCCTGACACCTGAGGAGTGCACACACTCAGCAGAACCCCACTCCAGCAGGAATCATCAGTGAAGCCCAACCCCTGCATTTTATAGTGGGAGACCAGTGCTTAGAGAGGACAAGTCATCTGCCCAAAGCTACACAAAGAGGCCTAACCCAGGACCCTGAGTCCCAGCCAGTGTTCTCATCGCCACTGCTGTCACCAAGGCCCTGCCGTGGCATGGAAGAAAAGACTGTTCTTTGTTTAAGGAATTCCACTGTATTCTATGCGTGCAGGGGGTCTCCCCTCCTCCCTGCAATTATACCAGTTCTAAATGGGCCAAGGCCCTGGGGATGCCAAAGTCGTTGCAATGACTGTATGGCTGACAAACTGAGGCTGACTAGGGACTGGTAGCACAACTGGGGACCACTTAGGGATGGAGAGTGAACACATCCTGGGCCTGGATAGGACGGGAAAATGGCCAGTGATGGTCAGACGAGGCCCTTGGCTCTCACTGTAGTTATCCCTCTCACCGTCACATAGGGGCACTTGCAGGGCCAGCCTCATGGGTGTGCAACCTGCACAGCCACTCAGAAGGGCCCCATGCTGGATTTAACGTTGAGCTGTCACCATCATGAAGTTAGTAATGGTTGAAGGAGGGGCCCTGCGTTTCCATCTTGCACGGGGCTCTGGCGGGTCTGGTGGCCTGCTCACCTCTCCTCATTCTTGTCTTACTCCTCACTCTTACTCTGGGCGTCCACATAGGGCCATAGGGGCCTCAATTCAAAGTCTTGCTTTGCTGCTTGCTAGCTGGGTAAGTTGGGGGTGACTTACTGAGCCTGTTTCCCTGTTTGTTACAGGATAATGATGTCCCCTGTTTCAGAGACAGTGAGAGCGAAGAGCCTGGCCCCGTGTCACATGTCTACCTGTGACATGACATACAGTAGTGGCACAGTGTCAGCTCCCTCCCTGCCCTGTTCGCGTCACTCTGAGGCTTTTCTCCACAGATTTCTGAGATCTCTGCGTCTAGCTGCTCCAAGAAAGTACAAGAACATACCCGGGAGCTGTCTGGGGCAGTGTAGAACAGCAGGGTGAGGACAGCATGGCCGAGGAGAGGGAAGAAGCCAGGGGTAGCCTGTTCCTGAAGTGTAAGGGAAGATCGGGCTTGGAGCCTGGGCCAGCCGAGGCAAGGGGGTGGCAGGCAGCCAGTGTCAATTAAAGATAAAATCTCTCCTCCAGTAGTGGAGGGCAAACAGCAGCTGTGGCCCCCTAGACAGGAGAAAGCCATTTGCAGCCAGGCTGGCCTCAGAAAAGCTTGGCCAGGCGATAATGGGACGGGATGCACTGCTGACTCCATAACGATGTTACGCATCAGGGCCCACGGCCAAAGTGGCTGTTTTTTCTGTAGATCGATGTGGAACCATTTCATGGTCAGGGGCTGAGAACCCAGCCAGTGGCAAGGGTACCAGATGCCAGAGTGGTCCTGAGGGGACTGGAGGGGTGGCAGCTGGGGTCCCCAGTGACCCTTTCAGGCTGCTGGAAAAGGAGGGAGCAGTGTGCAGGAGTGCAGAGGGGTGGGTGAGAGAAGCAGCAGGCCGCCCCTCCTCCCCACCTCACAGAAACAGCAGGCTGCTGTGTTGTCACGCAAGAAAGGGCTCTGGCTTCCTCCTGTCCCCCGAAGCTGGAGTGGAGCCCAAAGTAGGGAGCTGGTGAAAAGCACAGAACATTGTTTAAAAGAATAAGACAGACTTTTAGAGTCAGGTAGACTCAGGTTTGGGTCCTGGCTCCATCACTTCCTTGTGGTGTGACCCTGGGCAAGTTACTCAACCTGTCTGAACCTCTGTTTCCTCATCTTTTAAATGGGAGCACAGTAGCATCTACCTCATTGAGCTATGAGGAGAAATGAGTCGGTGCCTAAAAGCCTTGAGCACAGTGCCTAGCACATAACCATTGCTAGAGGGAGAGGGGAGGATTTGGGGGCAACTCACTCCAGGAACAGATGACCAGTTTGGTTTGATGTCCTCACTTTTCAGTGAATCAACCTCATTTCAGTGAAGTCCTTATCTCCTTACAAAGGAGTAAGAGTGGGGATGATTATACCAAACAGCGAGCATTTATCGAGTGCTAGGCAGTACATTTCATGCTTATAAAGATGCGTTCCAAGATTGATGTTATGATTACCTTTGTTTTACAGAGGAGAAAACCAGCACAGCAATGTCAGGCCATTTCTCCAAAGTCACACAGCCACTAAGTAGCAAAGCTGGGATTCAAACTTAAACAGCCTGGCTCTGTGCGTCCAATGCTTACCCACCCTCTGAACTGAATGGGGCTTGTGAGGTATAAGCCCCAGTGTAGGAGTTTGTGCTTTTAATGTTATTTCCTTAACTGTAATTGATTCTCATAGCAAAGATACTGTTTTCCCCTTTTACAGTTTAGAAAACCAAGGCTTGGGGAAGTGAGTCATTCAACTCTGTCTCCCTTTTATGTGTGTGTACCCCACCCCACATACACATACGGTGGGGAGGGATGTCCTCTTGGGATTCATTCATTAATTAGCAGGAGCTAACACCCAGCTCAGTGACTGGTTCCTTCCCTCTGCAACGCCACTGGAATTTTATTCCCTGACACACACAAGTGGGTAAGTGGGGTAGAACTGCTCTGGAACCCAAGTTACATGAGGAGCCGCTCAAGCTGGAGACGTCTCGGAAACCTGATCTCAACTACCTGGTGTTTAAAGGGCGCCTGTGGGGAAGTGGGTTTAGATTATCCTCTGATTGCAGATCTGGAACTAATAGGTGGCATGTTAGGTAGGTAGGTTGGGCTTAAATTTTTAAAATCATTTCTAAATGAAATTTTTATTTGTAAGTTTTGTGGGTACATAGTAGGTATATATATAAGAAACTTATTTTCTGTTGTTTCCCTTGCTATTATAAATTTAATACTGCCAGGCATGGTGGCTCATGCTGTAATCCTAACACTTTGTGAAGCTGAGGAAAGTGGATTGCTTGAGCTCAAAAACTGGAGACCAGCCTGAACAACATAGTGAGACCCCATCTCTACAAAAAGAAAAAAGAAAATTAGCCAGGTGTGATGGCATGTGCCTGTAGTCCCAGCTTCTCTGGAGGATGAGGCAGGAGGATCTTCTGAGCTCAGGAGGTTGAGGCTGCAGTGAGCTATGATCACACTACTGCACTCCAGCCTGCATGACAGAGGGAGACCCTGTCTCAAAGAAACAAACGTTATTTAATACAAGGTATTGGAAACCATCCCCATACCAAGTCAACAGGGAGTCCCCTGTCACCCTTCCTCAGTCCCACTTTCCTCCGCAGAGGTGACACTGTTAACATCTGGTGTGGGTCCTCCCAGGCTTTCTGAAAAAGAAGCTTTCTAACAAAATTACCAAATAGAAATAGGCTTCCCTGCAGGGTAGTGAAGTTCCCTTCCCTGAAAATGTTTGGAGACACAGTGGATGATCATGTGCTGCACCAGGGTTTGTGGGAAGGATTTCTGCTCGGCGTGGGAGGTGGAATTAGAAGACTGTTTCCAATCCTAAGACTTTCTGACTCACGTGGCACACACAGCTAGTTAGTGGGGGAGGCAGGTCGGGAACACAGGTATTCCAAATGGAGTTCAACTAAACTCCTTTCCTTTCCTAGCAAGATTTTCTTCAAATTCTTCTCTGCCTCTTCCCAGCCCATCAGTGGTTTGGGACAGGGCAGAGAGACATCTGTGACTCCTCTAGCCTGGAACGAGGGGGGTGTCCTGGACTTGGGTTGTGATGCCATCCAGTGCCCACCCTCGTAGGGCCCCTGTGGCATTACTGCAGTGACCACTTTCCTTCCTTTCCTGGCACCAAGCCCTGTGTGCACACACTGGAACACACACAAGAGGTGGTACATGAGCTGGCTCAGTCACCTGGGGCCATGGTAACCACATTCAAAATGCAAAATCACACTAAAAGGCTGCCGGGGACACTGGAGACCAGGCACTCTCCCAGACAGCTTCAGCTGGGCCTGGCCCAGCTTTAGGGCCTGAGGAGAGGGAGCCAAATGGCTGCAGCTGCAAGTTAAAGGGGTCAGAGGCCTCTGATGTTGGTGCTGGAAGCCTCTCCCTTCTTTCCCCACAGGGTTATGGGGGCTCCTCCACTCCCCCCCTCTTATTTACCTGCTTCTCCAGGATCCCTGGAAGAGCAGGGTTAGCAGGCATATACTATAGCCATTCAAATCAAGTCTACCAGAAATGTGGGTTTCCACTTTCGGCTGAGTTAGGGTCTCAGCTTCTGAAATTAGCAAGCTCTGGTTGCTGGTGGGAGCTAGGGGTTGCTCCTTTTCTCTCTCTACATACTCTTTGCTGGGTGACCTCATTCCCTCCCATTGCCTGAAACATCTTCCAGTTACTGGTGACATCCACATTTATAGTCCCAGTCCAGAAATCCCCTCTCAGCTCCATTCATTCATTTGTTCATTCATTCAGCAAACACATGTGGTGTCTCTGTCTGAGGTACTGCTGTATATGCTGGGTATACAACAGGGACCCAAATAGACACCCCCTCCTCATGCTCTCCCTGCTCACTAATGTGCCTGTGTGGCTGTCCCTAGGTGTCTTCACAGCTCCCTGATGCTGAGCTGTGATTCCACCCTTTTGTCTCCCTGGTCCCCCTCTCAGTGTGCGGCCAGCATCCACCTTGAAGCTGAAACAGATGTTGTCAAAACCATCCTCCCATCCCTTAATTCATTTACTCATTTTTCGTGCATCAAATTAGTAAACACCCATACTCTGTCACTGGGGAAACAGTGGTGAACAAGACCAACAGGATGCCTGCCCTCATGGGACTTACATTCTAATCAGGGAGAGAGGCCAGAAGACCAATAGACAAAAATAATCTCCCACTCATATTCCAACCCATTGCCAAGTTCCACATTTCTAGCTCTGAAATACATGTTAGGGATTTCCCACTTCCTGCTCTTCA